TTTAAAAGGCTTAAGGATGTCTATTTTTATTTTTTAAGCATATGAATGTTTGCCTACACTTGGGTGTGTATGTTTCATGTGTTTGCCTGGTACCCAAGGAGGCCCGAAGAGGGCATTAAATGCTCTAGAGTTATCATTAGAGGGTTGTAAACCACTGTTTGGGCGCTAGAAAATGGTGCTGGTCTTCTGCAAGAGTGCCAAATCTTCTTAACCTTGAGCCATCTCTCCAATCCCACTAAATTATTTTTATGTATATGTATCTAAGTGTGTCTGTATGCATATACACATCTGTGTGAGTATCCATGGAGCCCAGAAGCAGGCATCAAATCCCCCAGGAGCTACAACTATAGGCAGTTGTTAGTTAGCAGATGTGGATGCTGGGAACTAAACTTGGTCCTATTCATTCTACATGAGCAGCAAGTGTTCTTAATTGCTCGGCCAACTCACCAACCCCAGTACTTAGTTTACTTTATTTATAGTTACTGCTAATTTATTTAGTGTACTTTTGGAATGTGGTGAAAATCTTTCCCTAAAAGCTGTATCTGAAGTAAAACTTGAATTTTTCATTGCAAATTACATGCAGCAAAGAGTGAATGTTGCTCATTTAACCTGTTAAAAGGCTTTGAAATTAATTTTTTGTTTACTGTATGATTATAGAATTCTGTTCAGCTTTTGAAAAATGAAACCATTACTTTGTATTACTGGTAAAGTCATGCCTAATGAGTCACCATCCCTTTTCATTTATGATAGGAAAATAGAGTTCCATTGTGAAAGCTAGAACTGAGTTAGTCAACCAGAAGCGAGCCTCTAATTGTTTCCAAATGCTTACTTTTACTTTTCCTGTAGGGTTTGGATGTAGCTCTAATTCTTAGCTCAGTCAGGAATTTGCTAAGCTTGTCTTTTCCTCCATATCCTTTCATTGTGGCTAGATAGATCCATGCTAAAATCCGTTTTATGATTCCCCGTTATGATAGTTAATCAGAAAAATATGGGCAGAAACTCCTGAGCTAAACACAATTTTAAACGGTAAAAGCTGACATTGCTATGGACCTTTTTTTTTTTTTAACATCTTATGGACTTTGAAAATGACCTTGGTTCTGAATTGCATCTCCCTCTGTGAGTGAGCAGGTGGTTTCCCCCAGCAGTTGGGTGTCCAACCACAACTCCGACAGCTGACATTCTGACACCATTTCAGGTCATTGTTAGGAAAACCATGCAGCATGCTCGTGTGCTGCGGTGAGGTTTTTATTGTGATGTACTGACCATGCCAGTTTTCTTAGAAGAGCTGAACAGGGAGGTAATGGTTAGCTCTGTAAGTAGGTAAAGCCTTTTCTGAGTCACCCTTACCTTTTCTTCAGAAATGAAGACCTACAGGAGAAAACCAAAAATACTGATTAATTGTAACATAGTCACTCCATTTCTTTGCCAGACTTCTTTATTTTACCCAGCGAGTCTTCATCTGTTTCTTAATAGTGTGTACAGTAGATAGAAACAAGTGTTGCTCTTCAGCTTAGGGGCCAGTATTCTAACTATCAAAGTCATTAATTCCTCTCTAGTTGGCTTTTGTTCCCAGCCTTTTCTAAGGAAGGCCAGGAGCAGCCTGCATTGTTTGGTAGGACGGCCTTCTGTTTGCACTTTCTTCCTTCTGGGACACGTGTTCTCATGGAGATGTCTTTCCCAGTCCTGTGGATTTCACTTACGCAGCCTTTACTGTCTGCGCTAGTGCTTTTCTCTGTTAATAATTTCATGTGTTCTAAAATGGTTAGTAAGTTTTCCTGACCTAACATGAACTCTTCTTAATTATGTTTAGTGGAATTAGCTTTAAAATATGTTCCATAGACATTTATATATTAAACACTGAAATGCTGGGGACAAAAACATAAGTCATAATCCATAAAGTACTTCTCAGTGTGTGTGTTTGTGTGTGTGTGTGTGTGTGTGTGTGTGTGTGTGTGTGTGTGTGTGTATGAATATATATACTGAGAAATACTTCATGGATTATGATTTATGTTTGTATATATGTATGTATACATATATAAACAACTTGATGATTTTGCAATATAATAATTATGTAGATACTATTATTAATTATTTCCCTCTTTTTTGAGCCACTCTTTCTATGCATTCCAAGTTGGCCAGAGCCTTAGAGTGTGGGATTACAGGCATGTGCACCATGCCCCCCACATCATCCATGAGCTTAGAGTGTGGGATTACAGGCATGTGCACC